GGAAAAAAAAACAAAACCTTTTTTCTAAGCAAAAAAATGTATATACAAGGGTATTTGCCTTTCCTGGGTTTTTTCTCCTGTACTTTCATTCACACACACGCATGCGTGCACACACATTCGTGTCGGGGGGCGGCAGGAGGGGAGAAACGCTTCCTGCCTCCCTTGGCCTTTGCTCTCCGCACTGCCTCGCCTGCTCCTGCTGGGTCTGGGGTGAGACCAGCCACCATGCAGGGTGCCCCGCTAGGTCTCTGGGCTCCCACTCCAGCAAGCAGAGTCCTTTCGAACAGGACAGCACCGTCTCAGATCCCACCACGGGGATCACAGCCTCCAAATCTCACACTCTTGGAGTGAGAAACAATTGTTTCCAAAGCAGGCATCGTGTGGTGTGGTTCACAAGGCCCGTCGGCCATGCTTTCCTGGACTCTCTGTGAGGGTCTGTGCCTCTCGGCCTCCAGTGCAGAGAGGGCAGACTGACGGGGGCGCTGATTGTCGAGGAGGAAAGGGACAGCTGGCGGTGCCGGGCTGCTTGCTGAGTCCACAGGTGTCCCCCCAGGCAATGGCTGGACGGGCGCGATAGTCCTGAGCTGCTGTTTGGTGAGTTTGTGACACCCATGTCGTCTGTGCTTCCTTCTGGACGGCGTAGCATGTCTGCGTGTGGAAGTGCAGGTCAGCTGCCAACACGGCGAGAGCCGCAACGGGGAACTCGAGTTCGTCGAAACAGCGTGTGGTGGGATGGTGCTTCAGATCTGTGCTTCTGCCTCAGGTTGGAGTTGAGCAAGAGCAGGACCAGGGCCACGGGTTTTTCCCACTGTGGGGGAGGGAGAGTAATGACCAGAGCTCAGGCTTATGTCATCAGCTTCCCTGGAAATAACCCCCATCACAGTCCCATACCAAAGCCATAGTGTGCTTGGCTGCCTGCTGGCTTTTCTTGGAAGAGGCACGTCTAGGAATGTCTGCCTGGCTTGGCTGCGCGCCTAACTGTGGGTGCGAATTACGCTTCGCGGTGGGGCTCTGAGCCGCAGGTGGTCGTCACGGTTCCTGCCCAGGGACTCCACAGCACAGCGCAGTGCTGGACAGAAGCTGTGTCCCGTGGGCTGCTCTGGGCTTGACTCTTGCTGCAGACAGAGCTGAGGGAGGACAGAGCCAGCGGGGGCAGGGTGGGACACCTCTCCACAACTTCCTCGGCTCCTTCCCACGCCCACTCTGGGCTCGGGTGGGCTTGGACGTTGCCAGGCTGAGCACAAGCCCACCCTTATTTTGAGATGGGCAAGGCTGATTCTTGAACCCAGGGTCGATCCCGTAGTATGTAAGAAGCCTGGTTTCATCGTTCACGTAGCATGGGCCGTGCAGCTGTAAACGCCAGCTGTAACAAGTGGCTCCCACTCCAAGGTTTCAGTAAAGGAATTCAGTTGTCATTTTTGCAAGGGTTTGGTGAGCTCCGTAAAACTAATCATGTCCCCAAGACACCGAGTCCTGTCCTCTCGCAGAGGGACACTCCGTGTGGCTGCGTGATCTCTGCAGTGTGTTCGGAGGTGCCCTGTGTCATTCATCTGCTCAGGTGGTTGTCATTCATTTCTAGATTTGCTTTTGCTGTTCTGGCTGCCGCAGCAACTCTCCTCTACCAAAAGCAGACACGAAGAGCAGGCAAGAGCGTGTGCTGCGGCGGGGGACAGACTCTCAGGCACCGGGGGGGCCACAGCGTGGATGGCCTGGTGGGCTGCGGGGTGTGCTGTCCAGTGCGCCCCCACAGCCAGCTGCTCCGCTGTCCCCGCCTGAGCACCAGCCTGCAGCTGGGAGGGAGCCCTGGGTTCCAGGCAGCCTGACGTGCTCCTGAGTCTGCGGCCGGCCGCTCACACCCCTGACCCTTGTGCCGTGCACCGTGCCCTGTAAGCAGGGCGGGCTGCCCTGCACGGACTGTGAGGCGGGTTGCAGATGGCAGCCTGGCGGAACTTCTGGGCCAGATGGATTGGCTCAGGGTCTTAAAAATTGTTGAATTAGTTGCTGATGTCAGGTAGAGTACATTGGTCATAAGCAGCAGAATACAGCGTCTGATGGTCGAAGGGACAGAGACATTTGTCAGCGGCTAGTGTGGCTCTGAGTGGGGCCTCACTCCCAGCCCCCGGCGTCCCTGTGTTCAGGAAGGGGAAGCTTTTCCAGAAGTCCCTACCCATAGCCTTCCTTTTACTACTCCTTGGCCAGAGCTAGAGGAAAACAGGTGATTCCGAGCGTCAGGCACTTTGCTGCCCCAAACGAAGTCAGTGCACCTGACCACGTCTTGCCGTGGCTCCAACACTTTCAGACCAAGAGACTCTGCTGCCAACTCCAGGCAGCTGGTTCCACCTGGCAGGCAGAGCTCCCCAGCACCGAGCCTGCCCTCAGCCTGCAGCCCCCGCCGGGGCCCAGGCTCCTGCCCCACCGTTCAGTGCACCCAGCTGCACTGCCCAGCCGCCCCGGCTTCTGCTCCGAGGTCTCTTTCAGCACTGACACTTCGGATTTCAGGATTACAGCAAGAATGCTTTCTCGGCTGCTGTGTACCAAGCCAGTGTTCGGGAGAAGAGTTGCAGTTCTCTGTGCCACCTTACAAGTTTACATCTGGGGGCATTTGTCCCCGAGAAAGTTAACAGAAGCAAATCTTGCAATGTTGTGCTCGTTAGGGACTTTGGGTGAGAGTCTGGAGCCCTTGGGTTGGTTGGTCTTGTGGTTCGTGGCAGAACCCAGGTATACACATTTGCACAATTTTTCCCGCCCCCTACCTGTCCTGATCTCACTGAGCACGTACAGTTTGGCCGTTGAGTTTCTTCTGCAGTCAATACACAAGTGAGTTCGTTATGCCATGCCTGAATTTCCCATTCTTATTAAATCTACTTGCCCGGGAATTCTGCCATCAGGAACTACATCATATTCATCTGTGAATGTCTTACAGCTAATCGGAGTTCCTGATAAGTCAATACTCAATCAGTGTTTATAGGGAAGTGAATTTAGTCCATGGGCAACTGTTAGTGTTTTGCTGCTTTATCAGCCATTCCAGGTAGAAGGTATCAGAGAGGCACATGCCCTGTCTGTCCCCGGAAGTACCTGAACTTAACCCACAAACCAGTTCAGAACACAGTCCAAGCGACGTGAGGGGCACGTGGGAACCTGTCAAAGTGGACTTGAGTCCTGCCCAGTCTTGTATGTCGGGGCCACAGCACAAGGCCATACACGTGGCTCTCCCTGAACGCTTATGGCTGAGCTAGAGAAAGGCGTGGTCCAAAAACCAAAAAGCTCAGGGTGAGAAGAAGGAAGGATGGCGGCATTCGTCATCATTTAGGACTTTAGAGTTTGCAGAGCACATTGGCCTATACTACCTCGTTCGCCCTGCGAGGCATCAGCCCCACTTTATAAGTGAGAAGATAAGTGACTTGCCGGAGGCCACACGGCCAGTACGTGGCAAGGAGGGATCGGAGCCAGAATCCCCGTTTTCTCTGATGACGACATGCAGACAGGACCACACCAAAGTCCGGGGAGACCAGTCTGGGAGCGTGCTTTCAGGCGTTCCAGACTGTCAGAAGTAAAGTAGCGTTTACAACGACACAGGCCCCTCCTCCCCTGGGTCACGGGGCCGCGCCCCGTCCACAGCTGGGGTGGGGGTCCCGGGCGCTCAGATTGTCAGAGCCCCTCCCCAGCTCCAGCCCGTGGGAACCGTGTGTTTCAGGACTTCCTTACAGAGAAATTCCAAAATTTCCGGGAGATTGGCAGCCTTCCCCAGACCTCCGTGTTTGAGTGACGGATTCTAAGGCCGAGGCAGCTCTGGCCCCAGACAGTGTGACCAGGTTTTGAAGGTGTGGAACTCAGAGACCTTTCAAGAAACCTCAACTGGATTTTTCTTTTCATCATACGTTGAGTAGAGAGATGTCACTTCTCTCTTTTTTTCTTCCCCCAGGACAAGACATTTCAAAGAAAGTATCAAATTCATTCACGAGTGCCGACTCCGCGGGGAGGGCTGCCTTGTACACTGGTATGTGTGTCTCTCACTCAATAATACTTTAGCATGTTCTGGTCAGCTTGGTTTCTCATCAGGTGTTTTCTGTGGTATGATTAATTACTTCATCTCCTAATAGTTTTCTCTAAGTTCTGGATCCCAAACACACACTTCACCTCTCCCCTGACGTTTGTTGGTCATCGCTCACTTTTATTAAGAGAAACGTTAACTGTTTGCTTCATTTCACCCACTGCTGGGATTTCTGCGGGCTCCATCCCTAAAACCTCAGTGGCTTTTTCAAAACACCGTTTCTTTCAGGAGAGTTTTCATTGCAGCTGTGAGTGTTTAGCGATGCATCACGTAACAGCAAAATGACCATTCCTCCCCCCAGTTCACAGGCTGGGGCTTTTATGTGTGTTTGGCTTACAGCTTCGCTTTTGAAAAATGGATTAATAAATACTCTTAGAATTAAACAGTTTATTGACAGCTGTCTACCTGCATTCTGCTATGCTTTGTGTGGATATATATTTGTATGTACACGGGCGCACACACACACACTGTGAAAAGAAGACTAACCCAAGGATGATGTTTTAGATTGAACGGTCTTGGCAGTGTACCTGGCACATAGTAAATTCTCAGCAAATGTTGGCCACCATTTTTATTACCACCAGTAATCATACTAATAGCATGGCTAATTTGTCGGGCTCTGCTGTTTATCAAAGTGCAGGCTGGACATGTCCCTGCTCTGTCTTGAATGAGGTGTGACATTAATCAAAGCATAACAACCTTTTGACTTCTCCAAAGCAGTTGCCCTGCAGTGTAAGCTCTTTGGCAATGGGAAGTGAGAACTCCTGGGGCCTGTGGCTGCTAAGGTTAGTGGCAGCCCTGCCGGACAGAGGGGACCCAGTGCACGATGTCCAGAAAAGGCACTTACGAAAACCGTAATGTGTTCTGAGGGCCAGTAACCCATGACGGGGACACTCGGTAGGTAGGTCGGTTGCTTGAGAATGGTGTTCTACGGTTACACTGTTCTCGAAACTGTGCGATTTCTGACTTCACTTTTTTTAGGAGTAGGGAGTGTAACAAATACAAATAGTAGGATTTTCATGTTTATTTACATTTGACTTTAAAGCCCTTCAGGAGTTAATTGGAGCCAATTAGAGGGAAGTTCTAAAGCTCCTGCCCCTGGGCTGCAGCCGCACGGGAGCTATCTTGTAAAAGCTCCCACAGCATTTCTGATATAAGGCCCTCATGAAGAGCCACTACTTGAGAGCAGGGATTTAATGTTATTAATATTTATGTTTAAATGCGGGTAGGCCTGATAGCGCAGGAATTCACAACTCATGCCGTTGTGTGTATCTGAATGAAGATAGGCTTTTCCAGAAGTGAGAGATTTGCCGAACTTCCCCATCTTAAACTGTTGCTAGAACACACAGCCTTTCTGTGGCAGCCTTACTTTGCATAGGCATTTAAACTTGGCACCTTCTTCAGCCTGCTGGAGGTGACTCACCTTATTGCCTACAGACAGGCGGACTGTGCCTGCCTGGTATTCTGCTTGTTTATGTCAAAAAAGCCCAAAAGCACGATTTGATACAGGGGCTTCTGTATTTCACGGGCTTTAAGAATTATAGGTCCAGCCCTCGTACAGTTAAGAGAACCAGACTTTTAAAAAACATGAAGCATTCTAAACTAATAGAGGTTATAAATGGATTTGTTGCATTGATCTTAGAAGCCTCGATTTCCCTTGCTGTATGTCAGTTTATCTGTCTGAGAAAACGGGAAATATCTGAGGAAGGGTTTAGGTGCAGTGGAGGCTCATCGAGCTAAGGCATCAGGAGCCATATCCCGTAGAAGATCAATAATCGAGGCCAGAACAGCCAGAGAAGGCCTGAGATTCTGGTGTCACGAAGTCAGGGGAAGCTGGTGTGCTTCGAGTGACTTGCTGGTAGCGTGCTTGCTGTGCCCAGTGGGAAGGATTCCTAAAACGAGGTGTCTAGAGGCCCCTGCTCCGCGTGGATGGGGAGAAGGACCTGGGGATCCAAAGTTGCCCTTGCGCACCTGTTTCTCCTGGCCCTGCAGCCTGGCCGGGGTCTCCAGGAGCGTGACGCTGGTGATCGCGTACATCATGACCGTCACCGACTTTGGCTGGGAGGACGCCCTGCACACCGTGCGTGCGGGGAGGTCCTGCGCCAACCCGAACCTGGGCTTCCAGAGGCAGCTTCAGGAGTTCGAGAAGCACGAAGTTCACCAGGTAAGCAGTCCTTAGGGGACTTCCGCGGTGTGGGCAGCTGCCCTTGCGTCTGAGCCCTTGGTCCTTCCGTACACGCCCAGAGTCACGGACGTTGGAGCTGAAGAGGCCCCCGGGGTACGTCGGGTCCAGGGGTGCCCACCCGCATCCCCTCAGAAGTTGTCCCGGATCCCTTGTGAACCAGCTGCGGCCACAGGATCTCGCCCTTTGTCGTTTTCCTTGTGCCTGGTTCCCCCATTAGCTTCTGTTTCCCTCCCGTTGGGCGAAGGACCATGTTCTTGGTTTGGCTTATTTTCGTGTCCTCGGGCCAAAGCCCTGAAGAAGCAGTTGTTTCTCTTGCTTGACACTGGCGGGCTGACCACAGAGCTGCGATTGCCCAATGCCAGTTTATTTCCCTGTTTGTGTGTGGCAAGACCTCTGCCATGAATGAGTAGGTCAGAGTCTACACGGCTGCAGGCGTGTCTGTGTATGTGATATTCGGGTCTGTTTCCAACCCCCCAGTACCGGCAGTGGCTGAAGGAAGAGTACGGAGAGAGCCCTCTGCGGGATGCAGAAGAAGCCAGAAACATTCTGGGTAAATATAAAGAGCAAGGGCGTGTGGAGTCCCAGCCTGGCGCGCGGCGGTGGAGCAGCTTTCCGGTCCTGCCCCCTCTGGCCTACAATAACTATACGACGGAGACCTGACGCCGGGACCTGGTGCCTTCCTTCCCACTGCTTGTCTTTGGTGCGTTCCGCCCCAGGGCCGTGCAGTGCGAGGGTGCCTGACTGCCCCCTCCACCGAGGACAGGAAAGGCAGGTGGCCAGGGCCAGGTGGAGTGCGCTGGGCTCCTTCCCAGGTGCCCCTGCCCAGCCCCGCCCCACGCCGGCCCCTCCACTCCTGCCAGCCCTGCCCTGCCCGCCTGGCCTCTGCTTGCTGTGCCTGGGATGATGGGCTGCCTCGCACTGCCGTGTGAGTGCGTGAGTGTTGCATGTGTGTGTGTAATGGTGTGTGCACGAGTGCGCACATTGTGTGTGTGTGTGTGTGTGTGTGCGTGCGTGTGTGAAGTCTTTCACACTGCCAGAGATCACAGAATCCGCTGCCAGGATTGACAGCCACCTTTCCCTTTGTCCACGCCTCCACGTGGAAGGCATCTGCACTAGATCTCTGAAAGGCTGCTCAGCGCAGGAGCGGCCTGTGCCCATGAGCAGACAGTGAGGAGAACTCAGGGGACCAGCAAGGCCCCTCCCAGACCCCAAGGTGATGCGGCAGGGGCAGCAGGGATTGGACTCCTCCAGAGCGAGGGTGGTTCCGGGGCCCTGGGAATTGTGTGTCGTGGGGGCTGCTCTGAGCATCGCCTCGACCCGGTGTGGGTGCGCCAGCCTGTGGGTTCCCCGTGCTTCGAGTCAAGGCACCTTTCCAGCCCGTCGTGCCCTGAGTTCTCCTTGGTGTCTGTTCTTTGGGACTGGCTGCATCTGGCTTGGGGTAGCAGGAGCACCTCCACCAAAGCTGGCGTGCACCAGAGGGCTCCCTGCCACTCCTTCCCAGCCTCGCTGTCCTCCCTTCCCAGGGGCCCTGCTGGAGGTTTGCATGCACCTGCAGGAATTGGGGAGAAAGAGCATTTCTTAGGCACTATAGTGGTTTGCATTTAAGAATGCCTGAGCATTTATTAAGCTTCTTGGTATGTGCTGTGGGTTTGATATTTGATCTCAGCTACCTCATTAAATGTTTTTTGGAATGGTATTTTCTGTTACTCCGGTCAACTCTGCCTCATGGTTGAAAACGTTTGTTCGTGATTGATTGCTCTTGAAGCCAAAGGGAAAGGCATTCATATAATTGAGCTACTTAAAAATTTCCAATGTGGGCTCCAGTAATGCTTTCTGGTGGGAAAATTACACATTCCGGCTGTGAGAGCATCTGCAGTTTGGGGCAGCACATCCCAGGATGCTGCGCACAGTTCGCTGGTCCCGTCCTTTGTACCAACTCACATTTCTTAAGCACGCAGAGCCACACGAATGAAAAAATACACTCGACCTCTCCCTAAAAAGATGCTGCCACCCAGTTTCTCCGAATTTCACCACAAAGAACCCCCACATAAGAAGAGCAGTGCCCCTGTGCATGTAAAGGGTACGTCACAGGTGAGCGATTGGGGGCGGAAGAACAGAGCTGCCTGGCCCTGCGCAGACGCACAGGCCCTGGACGTGTGCCAAGAGAGGGGACGGGCTGTGCAGTCATCCGTCCGCAGCTCAGATACTTTGCCTATAAAGACATTTGTCCCTAAACCAAAAAGAAATGTAAATATGTTAAGAGAAAAAAATATTTAGGATATTAGCTTGAATGCTTAAGTATGTGCACTTTTACAAACCTCCAAATGTATTCTTGTAGGTCTTTAAATGTTTTAATATTTGCTGCCAGTGATGTTCTTTCTTCACAGCTGCTCCGCGAATTCTGAAGAACTGGGCCTTTCTCAGAAGACTGTAATTAATGTACCTGAAGTTTCTGAAATATTGCAAAGCCACAGAGTTTAGGATGGTGCTGCCAAAAAGAAAAGCAGCCTAGAGTTTATTTTTGAGTAGACAGAAGTGATTTGTAAACATGTTTGTTTTTCATTTTAAACCGAATACATGTGTAATCATGTTGTAATACGTTGAGAACTAAGGACAGTCTTTAGCAAGAGGAAATACTTTCACCTTAACTCCACTGCTGTGGCGATTTCTTTACTTTGATGCCTGACAGACGATCTTAGAACCTCGTCGTGCTGTCGCGGTTACTGTTTAGTAACCCTGACCGCGTCTCGTGAACAGCCACCCAACAAGGAACCTGGCACCCGATGATCGTACTGCGTAAACTGTGCCCACATGTTCTTAAATTCTCCAGCTCGGGAAATATCTCTTGGTGTGTGTTTTCACTATGGTTTGTGTTCTTCGTGGTGGAATTTACCAAAAGCTGCACACTCTTGTTAATAAAAGGCAACTTGGCCAAGTTTAACGTCGTGTGCAATGCGTTCTTCTTTAGCTGGGGTGTGACAGTTGCGGGCCTTCCTGCCGCGAGAAACTGCAGGGCCGGGGCGGAGCCTGCTCCTGGCTGTCCTTGAGAGGCTGTTGCTTTCCTCCGACAAGTGGCACAGCAGATGCTGGGAAAGGTGAGTTAATGTCTGTATGAAAGAAAAGTTGGTCACTAATGTGAGGTGGAAGAAATTCAGAGTCACATTTTGCCTGCACAGAGTGGGAACTAATGCTCAGCACCCCTGGAATTGTATTCGACAGAAGTACGCGGCCCAGCATGCCACGAACGTCGGCTGCCCGTTATGGGACGTGGTTATTCTGATTCCTATCCAGGTCTGAATTTGAAGGAACACAAACCAACCTGAAGAGCAATTTAAGTCAGTTTTCTAAATTTTTCTTGTCCAAATCTAGTGGGAGAGGAAGGAAATTTGACTTTTTACTCTAAGGATAAGTTGGGCTTGAATGAAAGGCGGGTGAACTCAGGAACCAATAGATGAGGCCTCCGACTGTGGGGTGCAGACGTCATAGGCTCTGATGCCTGGGAGCTCCTGGCCTGGGCTCGGGCTCGGGGTGAAGAGAACCCCCTGTGCAGGCAGCAGTCCCGATGGGTGTCGGGACACCCTGGTCGGTTTCGGGCAACAAGAACACCTTGGGCATGAAAATATTTACCCTGACTCCACACGCACGCCTGGTGTGGCACAGGTGACCCCGTTCAGGTGCCTCTGAGAGTTTTTGTGTGCCAAACCAAGGCACCCAGGATGTGTCTCCCAGAACCACCTGTGAGGATGTGGGGCCCACTCCAGAGGCACTGGCCAGGCCCCAGCCGTCTCAGGAGGACCTCCGTGGGTGCACCAGGGCATGAGGCAGTGGCATCAGCAGGAAAACCGATTTTTGAGCAACAGCGGCCGCCTGGGAGGGTCACCCCTCCTCAAGGCCAGACGTCATTTCTACCATTTCTTACCGTATCCGACACCAACACCAGTCATCTCATAATTGTGTGGTGCTCTGCAGGTCCCAAAATGTCACCCCTCAGCCTTATAAACCTGTGGAGAAGGCATTATTTAATTCACTCACAGCTCAGAGAGGCCAAGAAATACACTTCAAACTGAAAATATTAGCACCGCTGGAACCTGGGCCTGCTGGATCTTTCTGTCCCAAATCAGGGAGGGAGACGCTGCTGGCTGTGCCCGGAGGAGCCCGGTGGAGTCCTCCTGTGCTCCAAGCTCAGGGGTCTGTGGGGCGCACCTGCCGAGGGGGCAGCATGTGGAAACCAGGAACCCCCACTTGCCTGCCCCCCAGTCTGGGGAGTTTGTTTTGTGCCACCATGGAGTGGCAGTCAATTCCTGACCTCACCTGGAAGCTCAGGGCCATTCTGAGATGGTGTTGACCACGCTTAGGTGTTAGAAGCCAGAGGTCCCTTTTCCGTCTGTGACCAGACCAGGTGCTCGTGGGCCACACTGGAACTGGAGACCGTGCTGTGTAAGGTGAGGCCAGTGGTGGCTCAGGGCGGTTTCCTTAGGCTGCTTTTTCTGCAGTTTCTTTGAACACAGATGCTGTTCTAGCCTGGAACCCAGAAGCACAGCCAACAAACAGAGGACACTTACCTGGGTCACCTGCATGCCCTTCTCCTGCATTCATCTGTTCATCCATTCATGGGACAAACCCATCTTCATCGCAGCAGGTGCTGTGGGGTCGCAGCCGGGACTCAGACACAATCCTGGTTTTCAGACTGCGGCCTGGTAGAGTTGGCAGTTAGGAAAACTGTCACTTACAGAGTAGCATGGCAAAGACTGTTACAGCTGCCCTTCATGCCATGGAGCGGGGAGGTGGAGACACCCCCAGTCTTGGAGGCAGGAGCATTTAGAAAGGTGTAGAAAAAAGTGACACCGAATGTGAGACCTGCAGCATGAGTCGTATTAGTAGAATTTGCCGGGCAGAGTGGATGAAGGAGAGTCCAGGCGTGGCCGGCGTAGGGAAGCCTGCAGGCACAGGAGCCCTCAGAGCTGGGGAGTGTGACCCACTCTGCAGGACGCAAGCCAGTGCCACGGAGCCTGGCGGCGATGGCGTTGTGCCGGCAAGGCTGCAGACACAGCAGGGCCCGGCCAGCCGGGTAGCTCGTAGTCGCAGCCAGGGGGGGTCTGCCAGGGACCTGCACCTCACACCAGCCCTTGCAGCTAAGCAAGCTCAGAGAGGACAGGCCGGGTTCCCAGAGGTCTGACCCCGTAGCATGCAGCCTTGTAAGCCGCGCAGCTGCAGTTGTGCAGACCACCTGGGGCTGGCTGCACGGCGCTGGCCAGCAGGAGGCGTGATGAATGGTGGGTGGCAGCCTTACTCAGGTACCCGTGCAGGACAGGGCTGCGCCCTGGGGCCACTTAGGAGGCAGCCGCTGCGACCATCCAGGTGAGAGAAGGCGCCCTGAAGAGGGTTCAAGCAGGCGAGTGGACTGGAGGGGGCGGGGACAGCAGGTGTTCTCTGTGACGGATCAAATGTGGAAGAGTGAGGCTCGACAGCCTGTTTGCCCTCTGGGGTCTCGTCCCAGCACAATGGCTCTTGTGTCAGCAGCGTCTTCCCACCATGAATGGCGGTGTGCATGCCTCTGCGATGCTGATGTTGGATTCGAGGGACATGCTTTGGCGGGGGTCGCCTGGGCCTCAGATCTGGGGCCTCTGAGGGCGTGTGCCTGCGTGTAACCCAGCGCTCAGATTAGGTGCTCGAGTTCGTCCCTATACCCAGGACACACTCCCAGGGACCAGACTCCTGAAAATTAGCATATTAATAGAATTCAAATTTCCTATTTCCTGATTACTGTGAAGGATAAAATACTGGCTTACCAAAGACGAATCTCTTGGCCGTGCTAGCTCTCTTCCTCTTACCGTCAAGAGTTTGGGGAGGGCGACTAGGTCCTTGGGCACTGTGCAGGGAGCATGGATGGCCGGGACGTGGAGCTAAGGACGGGGGGCTGTGTCCTGACCTGCCACGTCCCCTGGCCAGAGCACTGTTGACACGCAGACGGGGCTCATGTGGCCCATGGCATCCCCAGGCTCTGTCCCCACCCAACCCCGGCTGGGCAGGGCTGCTTGCTCCCTGAAGCCACCTTTGCTGGGTCCTGGGCAGATCACTCATTTTACGGACTGTCTGGCCGAAGTGATTCTTTCACTCGAGTTGTGTTTTTCAGAGCAGCTTCCTTAAACTTGGGCATTTTCAGGTCTCCTCGGTGCCATTGACACCATTCCCCGGCTTCCTGCTAGTGGCATTTTTTAGTTTATTGGTACCGGTTCTTTCTAGTTTTGTCTCAGCAGGGAACCTACTTCCAGCTTCTGGGGCTGCCTCGTGTGACTTGTGCGGTTCTGGCGATCGGGCAGTGTGTGTGCACCCGCACGCACTGCCTGTGTTCTGGGGTCTTTAGTTTATTTCAAAGCACTGCTCAGCCCCCAGGGGCGTCGCACGCGTAACCTCTGGGAGCATGCTGAGCTCAGGTCTACCTGGCAGTGCCCAAGGAAATGTCCGAGCCCGTGCTACACAGCCAGAGCTGGTCCCAAAACGCCCCTCTGCACACCAGCCTCCAGTCATAAAAATGGGGAACACACTAAGAATCACGCCCTGTGATCCCACATCAGATGGCTCCTCCCATCCTGAGTTATTAATAATTTTATTGAGAATGTGCTTTCAACATGCTTGTATTTATATGTGTACTTAACAAGAAATCACCAAGACTGCAGTGGGCAGTTCCTCTTCCCTTTCCTTTTTATCGCCCAGAGAGAGGGAGAAACAGAAAAAGCAGAAAACCCCAACTGCCTCTGACTTCTCCCGGGAGGCTCCACTCCCTTCTCAGACGCAGCAGCGTCCGTCCACCTCGGGCACGGCTTGCTTTGAGCCCCGCGGTCTCACCGTGAGTGTTCCGTGCGCAGCTCGGGCTCACCGGCCAGAACGCCACCTGCCTGGAGGCTGCACGTGCTCCGTCTGCGCCTCTTCCCATCAGGGGAAGATTTGCCAGCGTGTGTTTGAACATCTGCAAGTTTGGGTTTATTTTGCTCCAGATCTCCACGCAAACAGTTGATCATGGAGAGTTAGTAGTTCACAGTTAACTGGAGCTTCTAGTTCAGGTATCAGAGTTAGGTGTCAGGAGGGAGCTATGTTAGCGGGTGTCTGAAGGTGCAGGCAGTTCGATACTCTGATTGCATGTGGAAAGGGCCATTGCTTTAGAGGTAGGTTCAGTAGAAGAAATGTTTTGGATGGGCTCGTACCTGTGCGTGTCCTGTGTGCAAAGGCCTGATTCAGAAAACCAGATGGTGGGGGTGGGGCGGGTTGGATTCTCCTTGGGTTGACAATTTATTCCCTCAAGCAGCAACGTCGCTGGGAGATGCATTCGGAGAAGTGCCGATCCCAGCACTTGCCATCTTCCCAGCTTGGCCCAAGGAACGCGTCACCTTGCAGTGGCCCAGCCACGCACGTCAGTGGCAGGTGCTGCGCGTGAACAGAACATGCCAGAGATGAAAAGTTCGGCCCCTCTCTTCTCGCATGGGAGGGCCCTGCCCTCAGCCCCAGGCGCCCACCCCCAGAAGCAGCCAGATTGGCACAAACAGGAACCATACTTCGCTGGTGAGCAGGTTTGCTGCTTGTTGGCGGCTCTGGGTTTCCCCAAGGCACTGATGGGGAGACTTCTTGGAGAATAAAAATCATAAGGTCCCCTACGTGCATCAGAGAAATGTCACCTTCTGCTTTACAAAGGGTGCGCCTTTTATGGAGACAGGCCCAGGAGGCGCGGGGCTTCCTCAGAACCGGCGTCTGGAGAGAGGCCTGCCACATGCCAGGGCTCAGCTGCTGCATTCCTGGTTTTGTGTGACGCCGCACCGATGTGGTGACAGAGGGGAGGGCAGGAAGGTGTGAGAAGACAGGAACCGCTTCCTGGCTGTTTGCAGATTCGGGTGTGTCTGAGAGGGGGCTGCACGGGTGG